CTGGCGTTATTTATTCCATACTTATGGGCGTTTTAAATTAGGCTTTGAGGCTCGCGTGTTTATACGTAAATCCACAAGAACTTTAATTTAAATGCCCGCGTGTGTACACGTAAAACCACATCTGAGGGTTAACAGAGCAGACAGTTACTCCCGGAATAGGGCATGGAAACCTCTCAATCTTATGATAGTCCTTGTAAATTGACCTTTTCAGAACCTACCACTTAGGGTCTCCTGTTTCCCTGTTCCAATTGGTTACTCCTACATTACCCAACTACCTCCCAAATCGACTCAATTTTACCCTGAATATGGAGGTGGTAGGTTCCTACAAACGGTTATTAATCACCTAGACTACCACACTGAATCATAACCCAGAAGACCCTAATGAAAGAAAGTATGATATGATTCCTGAAGTTAACATGTCCTTAATATTACATAACACATGCACCACTCTCAAATACCTGTTAGATGCGTTTCACTGCCCAGGACCCACACAGGATGCTTGGGATTCTTTAGAAATGAACCAACCTCACAATAGCGTAGGTGCTCTAATAATGCTAAGAAGCCAACTTCACTCTGGCAATCTATGCCGCGCAATTCTGCAAGTGAATATACAGAGTCAAGATGTCACAAATTATGAAATAAAATATTGTTATCTAAATCAGATGCTAGAACCAAACCAAACCTTTAGCAAAAATTCATCACTTAATCTGTATACTATTTGAAGACAAACACCAGCTCATCTATATTCTTGGGCATATTCTCAAAAGTCTTGTGACTGTGCACTTACTTCAAACATGAATGTAACAAGATGTAAAAAATAAGTAGCTGGGTTTCTCATAATCTCTATCCTCAATTTCAATATCTCATACCCATCTTTTTCATTCTCTTCAACATTCATTAGAAATCTGATATGGAGTATGCCAATGTGATATACTGTGTGGAGATAAGATCAAAAGTAACAAACAATTCTTTCAGTATTGTCAAGTGGATCTAGAAATCAATGGCCAAATTCATGAAATACACTATCATAATTCAAATAATAAGTCAATGGTGAGTTTATATGAACTTCAAAACCCATCACTGTGTGGTTTCATACATTCATAGAAAAATTACAGCAAATCATCTTGAAGCCGAACAGAAAGAACATGCCCTATTTAAACTGGGATCACGGTTTGCAATTGTAGCAGATATAATTGGATTGTTAAATGTAGAACCTATAACTGGAAACAAGATATATAATAAACCTTAAATTTAATGGATTTTGGATTTAACAAACACTGTCTAGTATTGCCAAATGTTTTCTGGACATGAGGCATTAATGGATGTTTTCAGTTTTAATGGACAAAGTCCAATGGATTTCTTTGCACTTATCTCTTTACGCTGTAGTGTTTTAATAAACCTTCGTCATTGTAGGTGTCCAGTTCTTATTACTGATCTCTTTAATGATGTTCCTAATGGAAATTATGGTCTAAGGATGCATTACTGGCATTTTAAAAAGAAACTGTCCAATTTACTAGACAAAGAATCATGTATATGACACACCTGTAGCATGTCAGGCAAACTTTCCAGATTCACTCCATTGTATAACTGGTTTCACTCCATTTACTAATTTTTTTAACTCACAAAGTTCATCATATTGTACAGCAAGCGGGAAAATGTAACATTATTTTATATGGGATGTATTCGGGACCGAACAAAACGGACGATGCATCCGGGAAAACGATAGTTCCGGGAACGATGGATAGAGGTTTCACTGTAATCAATTAAAAATTGTTAATGAGTTCACTTTGTAACATAATAACATAACATGACTAGGACTTACTAAGACCACCAACATCTTGGTCATGATCCCACACATGCCCAACTGCTCGTCCAGTCAACATCAGATTAATTAAACTCTGGCTCCCATACCCATATGTACCATCAATCAGTGGCTCTGTTGGATCATTCATTTCACTCCGGATCTGCTCCACACCCTGCAAGTCAGTTTTATTTCACACATTTACAATAAAATAAACTTACATTTTTTAAACAATTCCTTTGTTCAAACAGCATTAATGTAATAAGATTCAAAATTACTGTAACAGGTTTTAATCACCACTGTACCAAAAGAGAAACTAACTTAAACAAAATTTTGATACTGGCATTTCTACTACCATTCACTTTGCGTTCATACCAACTTCAGTCAATTAGCAGAGCCCAATAAAGTAGGGAGCACCAAATGAAGGTGAAACTGGCATTAAAGCACAAAAAGTGATGCCATGTAGATGGTTACTAACTTTACAGAGCTAATGATCACCTTCATCTTCAGGTATGAAGTATTGAACCTGTAAGAACTGGAGAACAGTGCTGTAGTCCAGTATCTCAGTAAGGACAAGAAAGAACAGAGACCCTGAAGATGGTGGTGATAAATTCCCTTGAAACAATGGCAGCCATCTACAAGACTACATGGTATCATAATCCCAAGAATCGTAATCAGCATCCACCACAATCTGAAATCTGAGAATGTACAACACCTAAAACTCAATTTTATTCAATGCTGACAACTTGTAAGGTCAAAAGAAACATTACAAATTTATAAAAGGCAATGAAGCACTGCAAAATGCAAATAAATAATAATAATGCTTGACACAAAGATCAAGCATGAGACCACCATGTACCACAGGGCATAGAACCAAAACCAGAAATCAAGCAGGAGAAAACTGATTTCCTTAATCTGATTCCAGCTAAGTGCCAGGACAGGTACAGCCAACTGAAGACTGAGAATGTGTTAATGTCAGTTGGGCAGTCTTATTATGTGCCTCCGGAATGGTGGCAAACAAGTCTGAAACAATGCACCTGAACCAAAGCTTGCCCTGTTATCAGTGCATCAATCACATATCTAACATACAAAGTCTTGGTATTGAACTCTGGCCTATTGTCACAACATAGGTACTACTGTATAAATTGCACATGTACATTCTGAGACAGGCAGCTGTCAGTATAGTGAATGGCTGTGGGCTGGACAATCAGGGTTCAATCCCCAACAGAGGCAGAGGACTTTCTTCATGCCTCTGCATCCAAACTGGCTCCGAGGCCCACCCAGCCACCTGCTGGGATCCTTTCCCAGGGGTTAAGCAGTCAGGGCAAGCCAAGGTTGAGAATGAGTAGGAGCTATTCCTCCTCTACCCTAAGTGTCAACACTGGCATGTAACAGGATGGCTTTACTTTTTTTTTATAATAACTCACAGTTAACTATAATATATTTGTAAAAACTATTGCCCCACAGACACATGGACAAAATTGACGCTCAAGTAAAGTTACAAGACCAACAGTGTTGTAGTTCAAGGAGTTTGATGTCAGCATGGAGGTAATAAATGGAGACAAATTCTGCCCCAAGGCAAAATGTGTTTGGTTTATAGATTTAACATAACTTCACTGCAAATTTTATTCACAGATGTTAACATGTTAAACAAATGAAACTGAAACATAAAGCAAACCTTAACTTAACCTAAATTTTGGTAATGACATTTTCTGAGTTGTTATATCAACATGACTTTGATATTAATAAAAATCAACTAGTAATATTTCCCCCCGTATAGATATAATTGTTATTCTGCCATGACTCAGATCGCCATGTAAAGACAAGGTTGGCATTAAAGTGGGAGGCTTTCAGAAGAGTCACACTGCCCTTACACCAGAAATTGTGATTTCCCAGTTTTCCCCTACCATTTCAAATAAATGCAACATAATCTCAATTCTTAAAACTACAATATACTATTCATAAATCATTCATTCAAACTATTAACCCTTTAAAGCCCAGTGGTAACTATATATACCGTCTGCTCTAACAATAAATAACTGTGCATTCTGCCCACACAGTATGGGGTTTCACAAACCCTTCAGAATAAACAGTCCCGCGCCATAGCCGCGCGGTCTGAGGCATCATGCTTCGGACCGGCGATATGGAATGCATGCTGGTTCGAGTCTAGGGGAAAAAAAAAATTCTCATGAGCTTTCGACCAGTGTATGGGACCGGTGCCAACCCAGCATCGTGAGGAAATTGGGGAGCTACAATAAGTAGCGTAATCCAGTCAGGAAAGCTAGCAATGGCTGGAGGTTCGTCATGCTGACCACACGTCACCCTATATCTGGTTGGATGATCGTTCACCTCCGCTTAGGCATGTGAACGTGAGGCCAGCAGTCAAGCTAGTCGGCTTTGGCTCTCTGGAGCTATTACGCCATGGATTTCATTTCATTTCTCAGAATAAACAAGGTTTGTTTCACCAACAGTACTAACCAACTGATCTTTGCAATGAAAAACTGTCATGTTTTCTCTGAGGTATGAACTGAATTTTTCATTATTATTAAGATGATCTTTGGCATTAAAGAGTTAACCACTTGTGCTCAAAAGAAACTCAAGAATGTCAAACTGTGGAAACAAATTAGGCAAATTATACTTGTGTTACTGTGCTTATTTCCATGTTAAACACTGAACATGCACACTGACAACATGTATATTTATCAATTACAAAAAATGCCCATTGTAATAAGAACATTCATGTTATAATGTAAAAGAAATTAACTTAGTAAACACATAATACCTTTGTGGAAATAACAGAATATAAGAGAAGTAAGACTCCAAATGTTTCTCTCAAGATTGCTATCCTTTCAAAGTAAAAGGCTTCCACATCTTCAACACGTTCTAGAGACAGTAATCTGGAGAAAAATTAATAGAAGGTTATACAACTGTGCTAAAAAAGCTATCACATAAAAAGACAGCAGGTAATACCATCACAATTTGTATGAATGCATTTTCAACAATAGTGGAAAGGTACATTTTAGTTTGAGAGTTCAGATTTTGCATTCCTCCCTGGTTTTAAATTTCATGTGGTGGATATTAATAACAATATTAATATTTTTGCCTTATATTCAGAAATAGTTCCTGGCTCAAGGTGGGTACGTACTGTTTCAAGTGATTACCATATTAATCATTACATAAAAGTACTTGAGCCAGCACTTAAAGAATCTTTTATCTCACTCCTAGTCTGTAGAAGAATTTATAGTTATATTTGTATTGATATTGTCTATGTACAAACTGTAGGTACTTGTATTAAGTGTCTCACATCCTTGGCTTTTACCATGAAAGATATAACGAATATAAGTAAATTCTATTCTATTCAGCATAATATAACTTACCTAAGTTGTGTATGGAAATGCTCATGTTCTAGTTTCTGCCGTTTAGCCGAGGTTTCTATCAGCTCTGTTGATGGATTCTCTAATGGTTCTTCTCCATTTGTTAGAACACTGTTAGGTGAAGTTAGACTTCTCACATCATTATTCATATGAACCACTATGTAATGCCCTCCATTACGTTCACTAGCTTGCGTTAAGATATCACATGCAGCCTGAACAAGCAACTCATTACATTTATCTACATCAACCTAATAACATGAGGAAAGACACCAATTAGCTTTGATAATTCTGAATGCAAGTCCAAGATCCTTACATAGTCAGGGGCATTACTGAATATAAAGACTTTAAGTACCAATACAACAAATACTTCCTAAAAATGTATTTCATTAAATAAGTTTTCTTACCTCTCTCCAATTATTCCCCACTGTTTCAGATAACAAAGATTTAAGTATAAAGGCTTGAACAGGCGCCAGTACAGCACAAGGACCCCCTTCACATTGAACGAGAGCTGTAGGCTCATCCTTGCTAAAATGGAACCCTGTATAAAATTTACATACATAAATGACGTGTACAATTCACACTACAAATATGACTGCTTGTTTAATACAACTGTTAACTCGCCTTGGGCCCATCTTCGAAAAACGTCCTCTTTGACGTATGGGCCCCATAATAATTTCCTAATCTCTTGTAACTCACTATACGATGATGCACTTGAATGGTCTGCCATTATTCTTAGTCAAACGTTATTGTGTGACACCATTAAAATGACAAAATTACAACTATAACATTACACAGAACAAATATTACGATATGTGACAAGACATACAGACGCCCTGAAGAAATTCGCTCCGCGGCCACGTTGATTTAGGTCGTAGTGCAAATCCTCCCGCTGTTATTCCAAAATAATAAGCTCTTTGGAATCGCATTCCGATGGTAACATAATAAATATATTTGTTGTTTAAGGGTCCTTATTCCGAAGCAAAATATTAAATTATACATTACAAAAGAAATAGGAAGCGGAAAAATGATAGTGGGATTAACACTATGGATATCCTAATGTTTGCATTATGTGAGATTTTAGTTTCTCACGGCAGCGAATATGAAGATGGCTGGCCTGCGGTGTTGCCCAGCATGGTCTGGAATAGAACAGAATTTATTTACACCACACATCCTTCATAGGACCAAGCCAAGGATGTAAAACATGTCATAGCACGAATACAATACTTTTTTCTAACTAACTAACTAGATAGCTTACGGAAACCGAAGGTTCATCACCGAATTAACGAAAGCACCCCACCCGACCCTGTCCTGGGCCAATAAACTCCAGTCTCCTTCAACTCCTGTCTCCGATAGATCCCGCCTGAGATTATCCTCTCATCTACATCTAGGTCTCCCCAGCGGTCTCTTCCCCTGAGGCTTCCCGACCAGGTACCTGTGAACACATCTTGCCCCATCCGTGCGCGCCATATGACCCACCCATCTCATTCTTCTTGACTTAATCACCCTGACAATATTGGGGGAGGAGTACAAATTTTTAAGCTCATCATTACGCAGCTTTCTCCATACCCCATCGTCTTCTCTCCTAGGCCCAAATCTCCTCAACATCCTATTCTCAAACACCTGCAATCTATGTTCCTCCCTCAGAATGAGAGACCATGTTTTGCACCCATACAAAACAACAAGCAGAATTATTGTTTTGTATATTTTAATCTTCAGGTTCTTAGAAATCAGACAGGAAGACTAAATACTTTTAACTGAAAAGTAGCAAGCATTTCCAGAATTTAGTCTCCTCTTAACTTCCTCATGAATATCATTTTGATATGTTATTGTTTGAACTTTGTCACACTTTCAAAAGGATTTATTAGCCACCCTAAGATAATTCTGTCTGCCTGCCTGCTGAAGGGATACAAACATGTACTTTGTTTTTTTTAATTAACTTAAACCCCACATGTCTATTAGCTTATAGTAAAACTCCTGCCTTCCTCTTTATTGTATTTTATATTGTCACTGAATAAATTAACATCATCAGCATATGCTAATAGCTGATGGAAACAAGTCAGTTTCTGGATGTGAAATAATAATATTACTATCATCCACAAGAAGTGTGAGTTTAGACAGCTTACTCATGGTAACATAAATTGTACAACATATATTTAAATAGTAAAACAAAATAAAAACATGTTAATCATATTATTACAACCACAATAAAGACTAGAAATATTTATTAATATTAAAATACAATTTACACAAATCTATTTATTTTGAAATAAATTAACTACTGGGAGTTAAATAATAACTGGAACTATAATTCTATTAACTCTGAAATAAATTATAACAATTGAACATGAAATTAAACTGACACAGGCACCAACATATATCATGATATTGTTTCTTCATTGAGTCTTGAGAAATTAAATGTTAGATTATAAAACAGTGGAGAAGGATAGGAACAGTTTTGCGTGTACATATTTGCTGGAGATTATAACACAGCTAAAAAACATTTTTTGACATAATTATGTGTATAATGAATTGATTTCATTTCTGTTAACATGTACATTCCTTAATAACAAGGGATTATCTGTTCTAAAATTACCAGACTATTTGGTGCCAATATGAAGAAGCTATAATTTTTAATAAAACAAAGTGAAATACCATAAACGCCTTAATTTTAAAGTGAACAGTACACAAATAATATGTCCACAAATTATAGTTATTTTTATAATTCTAGACCTTTGTCCTATAATAAGAATCTTCACAACTCCCAAAGCATGTTCTTTCATTTATTAATCTATTTTGTATCACCTAAACACAGTGATAGTTAAAATATATATTTAATTCGTAAAATATTAACTTGCATCTATATCTTACTATGCCAATTATTTTTTAATCATAGGTGATTTCAAAGCATTTATCTGTTCACTTGGACCTTAAAGTTCAATCCATGGTCTAATACTCACAACTTATCAGTAAACAATATGTTTTATTATATTATTTTATTATCTCTAGGCTTATGAAAATGACACTGATTATAGGTAGATATTTTATGATACAAGGTTCTACCTCATATTTTGTATTTACCATATTTATATGACACTAATCATATTTTTATTACATATTTTATGATCAAGCCTAACATTTTATAATAGGTCTGTTGAAAGACAATTAGACATTTCATAAGTGAAGATTTACTATACTTATCCATTTATAAATATCACAAAGAATTTATTTTTTCTCAAGAGAATTTTATGGTTTATTCCTTTAGCCCAACCAAACACTGCACTACACAAGAATGTGCTGAAATTACATTCCAGTGTATTTTAAGAATGTTAGCCTTTCAGTATTATGTGCTAGTGCAAGACATTTAACTCTCAAATTTGACCTGCTATCAATATTGGTCCCATGATATACTGATATATTTCTAACAATTTGTAAACCTGTGTTATGATTACAATGTTTCAATTTCCTTGAAGTTTCTCTTACACAAAGTTATTTAAAGAATTTAGTGTTTCATTTATATCCATATAAAAATAGCACTTAAACAGATGTGGTTGTGAGTCCCTAGGGGATAGCAGACAGAAAGCATGATATTGTTTGCTTAAACTTACAGTTACATGCGTAGATTTGAAGTTTAATTTTTAAAATTAAAAAATTCTTGATAACTACAATACTGTATAAAAATTTATGAATATTCTGAAGGAATATTAAATGAGTCATATGAAGATATAGAGATAAGAGTGATTTGATAATTATGACATGAATATTACCAATTACTATGTCTCGAATATCACATGATACTTTATATTCCACCAAAGTATGGAACTCATAGCATTTAATGAAATACCCATTGAAAAGTCAGCAAACAATTTTAATGTAATCCCATGCACAGAGTAATTATAGTTGATCAGATTTCAATTTCTCTTGGCGATGATTATAAAGACAGCTGTGTTCAAATTATAGCTGGATTATATGTGAATTTCTTCTGATGGTATATGAAGGTCTGACACTTTGTCCCCAAAATCTGAACAGTTTTGATATCACATAATTTTCTTTATCTTGTTTTGTTATATCTGTTTGTATTAATATAGTTTGCACTTTCTCTTCTTTGAATGCTCTGATAATTTACTTTCATATATGTCTCTCTTTTATAAACATGTGCTGGAATCTACAATCATTATAAATCAAATCCTTTATTGTTTTAAAAAGACTAGTCAATTCACATTCATTTTAATATACTTTGACTTGATTCCTTTCATCTAAGCCTGCTGAATGTCCTGCATTTCGTACTATGAAATTGGAGCCATCATAGTGCATACGACGTTCTCCTCGTCTGACAAATAAATGAGCTGTTTTACCTAAAGATGCTGTACAGTAAAGGAATGGTGTAGTCAATGATGCTGTTCCACTGGCTGGACTTGTGTGTACTTTATATTTGTTACTGTTTCGATAAATTCTGAAAAATACAATATTTTATTATGGATGCTTCTTTAATTGTGCATATAAGAAATTACCTCATCAAACTCTGTACTAGTTCATACTGTAAGTGAAAACAGATGTGTTTTCTTTTAAGTCTAGAAGTATCAAGAATCTGCAACTGAAAACAATGAAATAGAGTTTCAATATTTTAAACAGTTGTTTATCTGAGTTTCATCTGGTTAGTAACTTTTATCAGGAATGATGTTCCCAGGCCATGCAGTATATAATTTAAAGGATCACAAAAGAACTTATGTGATTATGAAATGTGGTTAGTTTGAAGGATATTTAATATCACTTAATAAGCCAGAAAGATTGTTCAGCATAAGATGGTGATGGAAACAGTTGTGAGTCATTTCAACAGACGTCTCTGACATTTTAATATAAGGATTGAGAAGAAGCATGAACAACTTTGGCAGGAAAGCCAGTAAGATATAAAACAGGCAGCTACCAAATAACAAGTGAGATATGATATTGCTTGAGCACACTTAATTGGTTTATGAGATGTGGGATGGAAAATTAATTTCACATTTTTCCAGGAATTCTTTGAAAAAGTACAAGGCATTAAAAAAATATGTAATGTATAAAAATATTGTGGTTGTAAGTGTTGTCTTCTTTGTAATCTGAACTTATATATGGCAGCTGATCTTGAGAGATTATGGATACAGGCTAATTGCAGTCACTTTATACAGCAACTATTGTTGAAACTATAGGTCTATTCAAAATGTGTGCTTACTGCTTGTGTAAAACAAATTTATGATAATCATTATATTAAACTAAGACTTTTATTGGCTTGATGTCAAAGCGTGGGACTCAAGACAGTCATTCCAATTCACCAAGCCCTAAATATAGCATTTGTAGAGATACATACATTTTCTTTTAATTTTTTAGACTGTAGATTTAGCACTTCAAAATATGTGGTAAGTGCTTCAAAGAACAAGCTTTACTAATTCACAATTTAATATCAAAATATTAACCATCATTTCACAAGCTTAATAAAACCACAAACATATAAAATACAAATAATGACAATAACAAGTCCTTTGTGATCAATTAAAAGATCAAGCAACATAAGAACACATCTAACAACACTATGCATG